ACAATTTTCAATTAAGTTTTCATTGTGAAAAGCTTTAAATTTATTTCAGGAAGTTAAGTTACCATTGATTTGTTATAAATAAATGAAATTATAATATTTAATAGTAAATTGCAATAGGAAGTTAAGTTACCATTGATTAACAAATCAGTAAGTAAATAGATGAAATTTTGATATTCAATAAGTAAATTACAGTAGGAAGTTCAGTTACCAATGATTTGTTATAAATAGATGAAATTTTGATATTTAAAAAGTAAATTACAGTAGGAAGTTCAGTTACCATTGATTTGTTATAAATAGATGAAATTTTGATATTTAAAAAGTAAATTACAGTAGGAAGTTCAGTTACCATTGATTTGTTATAAATAGATGAAATTTTGATATTTAAAAAGTAAATTACAGTAGGAAGTTCAGTTACCATTGATTTGTTATAAATAGATGAAATTTTGATATTTAAAAAGTAAATTACAGTAGGAAGTTCAGTTACCATTGATTTGTTATAAATAGTAAATTGCAATTTTATTCGAAAGTGCAAATTTTGCAATTTAGAAATTTTCAGTAGAAAATATTGAACTATATTTATTACGAAATATTTATTTAAAAAAAAAAGAGAAAAATTTGGCAATTTAGAAATTTTCTACTAAAATTTCCAAATTGCAAAAATTTGCTCTTTTCAACATTACACGCTTTTATCGCAAAACTTTTTTATACGTTAGAATTACTAAAAATAATAAATCATATTAGCAATTTAAAACTTTTCATTTCTTTGAAGAGTTAAAGAAGTTCTACTTTTTGTTCCTATGACTGATCAATTTAAAAGTTTATGGAAAATATAAGTGAAGAAATGAAATTTAAATCTTTTATGATCGTAAAAATCAATTCAGATCATAAATTCAAAATATGCTATCAATTTTTGAAATAGATTGAAATAATAGCAAAAACAAAAATTTATAACTTGAATAAAATTTTTTGAACTAAAATGGCAATTCATAAATTTTAATTTAAATCAATATTTTTTCTAATTTGCGATCATCCATTATTATTATTATGACTTTGTTTTAATTTCAACAATTCATTAAAATGAATTTGATTGCATAATAGATTCTTCATTAATTTAATTCTGAAAGTTCTAAGCTCTTCTTTACAACTTTAAATCTTTGCAAACCAATTAAATTCTTTAAAAGAATTAAAAGAACAGATTCCGAACATGGCAAAAATTTTGCATTTAAAAAATTCATTTTCATTTAATTATTCAAATGAACATTTAAACCAATAACTTTGATATTATTCAATAAGATCCAATTGAAAATATCTTATTCAATTCAAACAATTCAAATCATAAATTTCAAATTACATTTCTTACCAGCTTTTATTTTTTCGTCATAATAATTTATTTCTCAAAATTAAAAGACAAAATTTCGCGAAATGCATTTATTAGACTAAATTGAAGATTACTGAAAGTAGCAAGTTTTGCTGAATAATTAATTATAAATTAGAAAAATTGAGGTGAAGGATTATCGATGGAAATATTCACAGATTGAAGAGGGATTAAAGTAAATTAAAAATTCGTACTTATACTTCGAATGAAAGTGACGGAAGATGAAGTGAGGCGGAAAGGGGAAAAGTTGAAAAGCGTATAAATGGAAATTTCATCAATTTGCTTCAACACTGACGGCAATAATGAAGAAAAGTTTTTATACAAAATAAAATTAAATTTCAACCGATTTTATTCAATTTCAAAATTTACAATCCATTAACAAATGCTTAAAAAGTATCCTACGGATTTAACGTATTGATAAGTGCACGCACTTATCAGTATACATTCCAGTATTCCTCAAACGATCATTACTTATTGAAATTTAGAAAATAATTGTTTTTCATCGGTTAAACATTGAAAGAAAGAGAAAGAGAGAGAGAGAGAGAGAGAGGGAGAGAAAAAGATGGATTCTCTTGGAGAAAATATTTAATAAAAAGATAAATATTTGATAAAAATTGAAAAGAAATAATTATGCAAATAAATATCAATTTGTTTAATTTTAGAAATTTAAAAGTTATTAAATCAAAGAATAACAAATTAACTTACATAACAATAAGTTTTTATTAAAATCAATTGATTGCAAAATTATTCAATGACTGTCTGCAATTTCTACTGATATAATTAATGGAATAATGGAAAACGAATAAGTTATCGTTTCTTTATTGCATTATAATAATCCCATCTGTTACTATGGCTACAAAAAAAAGCCTTAAATTTCTATTACTATGTTCAAAAACATAAGGTTAGTTACTACATTAGGCTCTATTATTTATCATCAAAACAATTGCTAACATCTAATATCATTTGATAAGATTTAGAAAAGAAAACAAGCTTAAAATGAATGGGTTATTGCATTTAATGCATATTATTTAATTTCAAATTTGAATTGCAAAATGATTTAAATGAAAGAATAAAAATTACAATTAGTAATTTTAGAAGTAGTTAGCTAGATAATGTGAAATTCAGATGATCTAACTAAGGAAAATAATAGCTGAATGATAAAACATATCGATATAGCCCTTGTATGAAATGAAATTAAATTTAATTTAAACTAATCCTAAAATTAATAAATTGATGATTGTAAAAAATGAGAGTGAAAATTCATTCGTTATATGAAAAAAGAAATAGCAAATATTGCAAAATACTGAGCTAATAGAAGATATGAACAGTTTGGTGGTAACCCATTTTCTTTTAATAGTTTCACTTGCCAAGGTTGATTTTCTTTCGCCTTCTTGAAAATTTTGGATTCATGCATGATTCAGATTCTTTTATGAATGATTTCCTTTCAATAGATATCCTTACATTATTTCATAATTTTGCATGATTATTGTTAATTTCGAGATGAACAACGTCATCGTCAACGATTTAAAAACTCCTTGAATAGCACGTGTTATCTCCACTCACCTCAGATAATTATATTTTTGGTCATTTACTAACATAACAATTTCTCTGATGGAATCATTTTCTCACCTGTTTTGAGACTAATTTTAAATTCACCATATTTGTTATCGCTTAAAGTTCAAAATTGCAAGTTTAGTTTTTTTCCTCTTCACTTACCTCTTTCCTACTTAATTGATGACAGTTTTACTTTAACAAATTATAGATGCTATTCACTGTACCCGAATTAATTCAAATATATGTCTCGCTTTCTGCTGTAATAGTTAATTCGCACTCAAATATACTATATCTTTCAAATCGCACTTTGAGAATTTGCAAAAGGAAACAAAATACTGATGCGATTCTCACTGTATGATTATCTGTATTTCTGATTTGGAACTCTCTCCATTGAATTTCACAAATTACAATATTTGATGAAATGTGAGCTTTTTCCCCTACAGCATAATTTTATACTGATCTCGTAATCGTACTGGTAAGTTGTCAGCATCAAATGCGCAGCAGCACGATAGAAGCTCGAACGTTATCAAAACGGCATACATCGATTCCAATTCAGATTAATCAAATACATTTCCAATTTTATTTTTATTACATTATCTTTTCTATTACAAACATCGAATTGGAAATGATGCTTAACCATTAAAAGCTAAAATCGACTATTATAAAACTGCAATCATTGAATGAGGCGCTGTATTCATTTAATTTATGTAAAACGCACATCGAATTTATTTTTGAATAAATCGATGTATCCATTTAATTTATATAAAAGCGCATCGAATTTATTTTCTATACCATTTCTTTCTCATTTGAAAAAATTACCGCTTTAAGCATACCCATTCCATATGTTCATTCCCATTTTGTTTAACACTTTGAATAATTCATCATACAACGACACATATTCAGGGGAAGTTCAACTTCAGTAAAATACAGAGTAACTGAATGAATTCCAAAAAATTACCTTTTCCAAAATATTTCCTTTGTTTCTGTAAAATATATTTTTGCTAGCATATTTTCATCCAAAAAGTTTTTGCTTTTTAAAAATCAATTTACTATAATTGCTATTGCTGACCGCTATACAATATCAACATGATAGCTGTTTACATACCTCACCACTTAGCCATGTTGTGTCGAAAAACGACTTCAGAAAATCAAACAAATATAAATCGCTGCGAATTATATAATCCCTTTATTGCATTTATCAATTCCACATAATTAAGTAATTCATTTCTTGAAAAGCCTGTCCAGAAGTTCAGCAGTTTCCATCAAAGAAAAACACGATCAAATAACTATATTATATGTCAATTGCTAAACTGTCTGCAAAATAACATTTAAATAAATGTAAATAAATACAAAGCATACTATTTGTGTCAAAAGATACTGTGAGGAGGAAAATAAATAATTAAGTAAACAAAATAATGAGTGAAAAAAAATTGCAACATTTCAATATTGGGATTCATGACTCGATTATGTGCATTGAAAAGATAGATGCAATGTTATAAGTAAGTCCTGCAACCATTTAGCAATATATCGATTATTTAGACATGTTTAAGCAGCAGGAAAATTAGGCCTTACTTTTAAGACATTATTACAGTGACGTTCATCTATGATAAAAATTATGAAAAAACCCAAGAATTCGTGCTTGGCATTAAAATTGGAAACAGTAAAGGTTAAAATAAAAATTCGAATTAGTAACGTCCCTGATTTATGCTGGATGCGGTGAGTTGAAATCACAATCAACGTCGGCTTCCGAACAAATTTAAGCAGTTTTGAAGCAATCCAATTCCTTGATGTAGCTTGCAAGTTTCTCAAGTTTAGCAAAAAAATAAACACTCCCATAAAACGCACCGTAAAGCAAAATGTAGATAAAGCAGTGAACCGGAAGTACCTCATTCATAGACGAATGGACATCCTAAACAAAAACAAATTTGGTTACTGCCACTATTTAGTGGTGCAAATTGTGCAACAACCAAAATTTACATACTAAATCTGACACTGAAAATGCAAATAGAGTAATTACGGACCATTAATATTCGTAGTCATCAACAGCCACATTATGTATCATGATAACAAATCATTCATTGCGATGTTTTGATGATTGTTGTAAATAATGCAGTGAGAAAGCATAGATTTTAAAATGCTCACATAGTTGACGTACCTAAAAAGACAAAATTTAAGTCAAGTTTCTGTGAAATAAAAAAAATACATTAAAAGTGGCCGCTTGAAAAGATGACGACTACTGCTTTAAAACTTCATCATTGAATACATCTGCTTTAGCAAAACTCCAATAAATGGAAATCATATTTAAACTCAAATGAATTAATTTTTTACCACACAAATTCCAAAATGCAAGTGAGCGAGAGTTATGACAATGACAGCAAGTCGTAAAAAAATCAATTCCTGATAAGTTGATAAAAAACCCAATAAAGATGCCATTGCAACGAACGAATATATTGCTAGGCATAAATTAAATATTTCCGCTCGACTATTGCACATCTGCGCGATGATCAGTTTACACTACAACTATATAAGATTAGCCAGTTAATGAGAACTGATTATTTACTACATAATGAATAGCATAATCTGATGAGTAGCAACTACATTTGACACTTTTGAACAAAACTCTCAATGTTTAATCTGTCAAATTTTCCTTACTGCAATATTCGAAAAAACAGTTCCCATAGTGTAGAGATAAAGACGAGGATCACGTTCAGCAATTTTTCCCGGAGAATACAAGGCCCAAAGTATCGAAATTGAAAACAAAATCAAGGATGGGTAGAGAGGTAAGCATATTTCGTAAAAATTGTCCTGCAAAAGTGAAAAAAGAATAAAACCAGAGCAGAAAGTCTGCAATAAAATTTAAGATATCTATTAAATATTCATCGAAAATATTCAGTTCTTCGAAAATATCAAAACGTCAATTAAGATCAACAAATCACCTGTTTTCCAGTGTGGTCTATAAAATAAGATAGATAAATGTTTCGAGCTGATACCATTAACGACAAGTAACAACAAACTAAAATAAAAAACGCTTTCGGCTGAAATTTAAGCTTGGGTCAAAGTTTAATAATGGCTTAATAATACATTCTTCCAAAAACAAGTCAGAGAAATCCCTTCCTAGTTAATAACAACAAATGTTTTCAACTACACTTGCTAGGATGTAATGTTAAATTAAAGCAAGAACTGATGTTGAGCTACAGGTTGCATAACCACAGCGATTTTTTTTTGCAAAGTTTCAACAGTCTAAAAACTTATACAAAACAGATGAAAAACTGACCATAGAAACTAAATTCAAAACAAACGGCCAATGTAAAATCGCCGAAAACATAAAACTTGAAATACTCATCGCCTTTGAAGAATGCAAATAAGTAAAATAACATAAGTCCCTTAAAATTTCAAAATTTAATTTCAGAATTTACAAACTTCACATTGCATAATATATCATATTATTCAATTCTTAGAGAATTTGCTTATTGTGTTTCAACCGAAATAAAATTAGAAAATGGATATTTAAATTCGACCTAGAATTTGGATTCCATTGATGATTAAGACATAAAACAAGCTTACGTATTGACTCAAATCATAATTCCACGGGAGAAATAAAATTCCGGTGTTATATTTTTCCCAATGTGAAACGATAAACACTGCTTGAACGCTTATCAGAACCAAAAGAAGTCGTGTCGGTGATAAACTGAAAAAGCGAAAAATCGTAAGGCCGGAGGGAGAGTTTTCTAATTTTCTAACCTTGTATGCTCATTTTCTCAATTTCTAAAATGTCACTTTTGTTTTTTAGGTTGCCGACTTGAATGAATGAGAACTGCTTAAAGGAAAAAGTTGGGTCCAAAACACATTAAGTTCGATTTACCCAAAGTGACTTTTAATTCATGCTACTCACGTTCAAAATCATTTACATTTGTCATCGATTTGATCAAACTTGCTGTTGAATAAAGGGTCTCCATCTTACCTAAATTCACCTTGACCAAAGATGGAAAAAGTAGTCAGTGTTATTGGAACTGTAGACCACGAATCCAAACCATGATCAACTGAAAGAATTAGTGTTAATAACTCCGCTTTCACAAAACTGTGGAAAAATTACAGAAACAGTATGGAAATCTGAGCGGAGATCATTATAATTATACATTAATTGTTAAATAATCTGAAAAGTCGAAGTAAAATCAATATACATGATAAAATATCAATAAAACTGATTTACATCCAAATTCGGATGATTAGTGTCAACAAATTCGGAATTATTAAGAAATGAAAAAACTGACAAAGTTCACCAGTCGGTCCGGATGCTCCTATGCGACGCGCCTGCTTACCATCAGTACCGTCTAACGTATGTCCTAGAAAGGTACAAATCGAGCACAGTAACCAGATCCAACTGGGGATAGATCCTGAAATTGGCAAATATCAAATCATATTAACAATTAAAAAATATGAATATAATTGGAAATTAAAATCATTTATACTATTTAATTTCTTATGTAAGAAGCATACCTGCTGGGTTAGTTAATTAATTATTTAATTGAAGCTATTTCTGACGATTCTTTAGAAACAAGCAGTCTATCTACTTGCCCACAAGATTAAAATGATTCAAATAAATTTCAAATCATCACATTATAATAACAATACAAAGTCACAACAAGGTTGAGTAAGCAAACTAGGATCCGATGTTTATTACTATTAATAACTGGATAATTAAAAAAGAAAAAAACTAATGAAACGAAGTCTTAGTAGCTACTGAAGTAAAAAATGTTGTGTTAGAAAATTATAATTAAAATGAGTATAGAATGAAAGCTTTCCCAGAATTTTCGACGAGAACGTTGGAATTAGCTGTCACATAATAATCGTAATATGAGACGACCAAAAATGCGAACATAACAAATATGAATCCAGCCAGCGTTAACACATTTGGTGCCAGCCATGTCGGATAAAACTGTTAAAAATTATTGTTCCAAATTGAAATCATATTAAAACCATAAAAAATTCATACTTTTATTTTAAACATAATGAAATCTTCATTAAGGAAGAAAGTTAACTGCAAGCAACGCTCATATTTTATAAGGCAACAATGTTATAAGCAACAAGATCTGTAATATCAATGTAAAATGTATTAATAAAAAAAAATTAAGTCAGAAACATTTTACCTGTACGACCCAATTCCAGAAGGGATGTGAAACATACTTTGACAGCGGGCTTGAGTCTACACTGCAGTACTGAAATGAAATTTCATCAATAAATGCATAAATTCTATGAGAGGAAGGATAAGATGAAATCTAACATAAATTTGATTGCTCAAACAATGAACTACTCACTTTATACTTGTCAAATCCTTTGATTTGTTGTTCACTAAGATATTTGTAATCGAACAATCCTGATAGTTTCATATTTGAATGTGCGATGAAGTAATCATATATTGAAAAACTGGAAAAATTTTTCAATAAATACTCCTCAAAAGGTCAATTACCAGAAAATGTCGCAGAATAATATTTCCTCCAACTCCTATCTCTGAAATAAATATCCGAAATGATTAATCCGGTCGTTGCACAAGAAACAAGATGAAATCCGGTACAATCCAATGACGCTATCCATGTCTTCTCTATACTTCTTCGACATCATTATTCCTTTTTTCTGTATCCTCTGTTGTCAACCTCTTCATATTGTATTATGTCTCGTTCACAAATTTATCCTACTTCCATTGAGAAGTAAGCATAGGGCGGTGTAGGCTAGCACCCAATCCGCCTAGTCGTGTCAGTGACTGCCTCCCCAATTCCGTTTCGGAGAAGCGACAAGAACCGATATGGAGCAGTAATACTAGGAGCTTATATACTGTTGTTTGGCAATTCTGAAAACGGCTAACAAATCATTTACTCTTTCGATTATCGATCGATCAGTACCAGGAAAAGTCTTTTTTTCTCTCTCTCACAATATGTCACCAGGCAAGTTTCCATCACTTCCTAATTAATTACCAGCCTAATAACTTAGACATACATATAGATACATACATATTTAGAATCATAAAAAATGTTGCAAATTTGTTTAAAATGAAACTAACTTGAATTGTGTATTACTAATCAATGATCGATAGAAAACCCATCTCTTCCATTCCTCCAAACTTTGTTTGTCACATTTCATCCAATCATTTTCAACTGTTTACACTTTCAGTAACTTCAATTGTTGTAACGTTTGTTAAGATAATTTTGAACATTTCAAAATGCACCTGAAATCTTAATAATGGAATGTATCATTTTCTTCTTCTCTTACAACCTAACATCTACAATGAAAATATCCAACAATATAAGTTGTTTTTATTGATAACATACACACATATACATATACATATAAATACAAATACACATACACACGCATACATAAACATACACACATACATATACATTTATATTTTCATATATTTAATATATTTAATCAATCGGTGAAGGATTTTGAAGTGTAAACATATTGTATTAACTATGTTATGAGAGAAATAGAACAATTAATAGAAATGTGAAATAATGTAAAGGAAACGATCCTTCGACTATCAATTCTTTACCTTTCTTTCTGCCCCGGGAAGTACCGTTCTGTAATCATTGGTAAATAAAATAATATTGTTTTGTACATTATCGCCATCGTCATAAAATCTGTTTTCATTTGGTACAAAGCGGTGGCTGACACAACATATTTAGAGAGCGCTGAAAAAGGAGAGAGAAAAAGAGAGAGAAAGAGGGACGATTAAATGAGAAATACTTTTTGTGGTAAGCTTTGACAACGGTTCATCATCAAATCTTTAGCCTGTTTTCCGTTTTGTTGTCTCACTTCACTATCTTGTAAGATAACAGTTTGAACTTTTTTCATTTTAATTTTAAATTTAAATTAAAAATTTGTTTTACAATTAAAGCCTTAAATTGTTAATTGAAACAAACTGCTTCTTACATCTTTCTTTCCTTAAATTAATTATTTTTTTATTAGCTAATTTAAAGATATTATTCCAATTAAGAAATTTATAAATGCAATACAATTTTCTTAGCTTATATTTATAGAAGCATTCTCAATTTTAAAGTTTTAAAGCTTCATTTTTTTATATTCACTCTTCCTGCAATAACGCAATTTATTTTTCCTGTTAGCTGTAAATGAGATTTATCATATAAATAGTATCTGTGGGCTCCATCCGGTTTTTTGATCTGGTTTTCAAATTGATTTCTAATTCAGATTGCGAAAATGTCAATGTTATAAATATTCCCTGAATTCTAAAACTCTTGCATTACTGAGAACGAAGTATTCGATCCGAGATTTTAAATTAGCAATTTTAATTTAGCAAGTAAGAAATCAATAAATGTATTTTCTTCATCTCTTGACAGATAAATTCGGTTAATTTATAGTGATGATTTTAAATCAATTTCTATGTCAATGTTTGCGATGACAAATGAATTTTTCTAATTTAACCATTAATGGAAGCAAATTACTAATGTTTTTTCCCTCATCTCTTCATTCTATTTTTCAAGCACAGAAAATCAAATGTTTAAATCAGAAAAATATTTTGTGCATTTTCAAATATCTTCTTGGGATCGATCATTCATTCGTTTTCTCTTAGATTTCTATTTTACAAAAAAAAATTTTTTAATTTTAAATTATTTCTTTATCTTTGAATTTTAAATAAGTTGCTTCTTTATGAATGTCAAAGATCCCTTCTAAGTAAGAGGAAAAATTTATTCCAAATTTAAAATCTGAGATTAATCAAATCTTTTTGCATTTTCAACGAATATATAGATCGGTGATTTATATAGAAAGGTAGTTTATGATTTCGAAAATTGAAGCAATTCTCTTTAAATGTTCTTTTTCAATTTCCATGCTGAAACTATTATTAATGTTACTGTAGAATGTGAAAATTCATTTTTCAGAAATTAATATTTTTCTACCCTACGGCTATTTTTTCCGGATTGCATCGTTTAATTCATTTCTCATCCATTGATGTATTACGGAATAGTGATGGAAGAGAATTTTTGATGTGAATTTAATATGATTTATTCCACTATTAATGTACTTTATTCTATTCTGCAATTTCTCCATATTTGTTCATCCTAAACTTTTTCATCAGTATTTATTCATTTTTATCTTATCCGTGCTAATAATTCATCAAAATTACGATAGAATAGAAACTGAAAGAGAGAATTTACCTTTCTTTACCTATAAAGAGTTATTTCTTAGAAGCTAAAATTGCCTATGTTTATTGAGAAGGTTTTTCATTCAAACAGAGATGAATACGCCATAATCTCTTGACTTTATTTTTCAATTCTATTTTAAAATTACTTTTGAAAAATGTGAAATTACTTCAAACTTATCTTATTTGCTATTTTTGAAGCCTAGAATTGATGCCTTTTTTCTTTTTATAATTCAAAATTCTTTAATATTTTGTTTTTCTGAAATTTCTATTATCAGTTGAAAAGAGAAATTGTAGCATTTGAACTGGATCTTATCAATTTCGAATATTTCAGCCTTTTCGTTAAACAAATAGGAATGACACAGAAAATAATAATAGTAGTAGTACCATATGTTTAAAGAAATGCATAAAATTATCGATCATTTTTAGAATTCAATGTTTTTGGATGAGAATCGAATAATTTCAAAAATTAGTCAATAAAATTGTTCAGGCATTTATAATGCTAATGGAGTGCAAAAATTCCAGTATTGTTTTTGGTATTTTTGAGGACTTAAGTAAAACGTATAATTATGAGCTTCCTTTTGGATGAATAGAAAATTAAACTTAAAATGTATTTATGAGCAAAACTTTAATTTTAGATAAATTTCAAATTGAAATCAAATGAGAGCAATTTCCTAACCATCTTGCATAATCATTTTTCCTCCACTATTATATTTTATTGAGCTTTTATGATGCTAATAGATATAAAATATCGCAGCAATCAGTTTACTATTCAGTTTTGAAGCTTCAAGCATAATAGTGATATATTGAATATCAAATTCTGACGAGCTATATGATCACGTTTACTGTAGGTATTGTAGGTCATTATGTTGCAATCAGTTGAAAATAATTGAATAATTCGTGATGATCTCATTTTCTCATTTTTTTTTTCTATTAATAAAACATTTTGAAATTTTAAATTTATTATTTCACTAGGTTTGCTTTCAATTCTTTTTGTTTTCATCCTAAACTTTCCATTATATTTGAATTATATTTTAAAAGATGTGATTTAATTTTTCTTGAAAAATAAACAATTTTGTTGAATTACATTTTTATAATGATAATATACTTTGGTTGTAATTTACCTGTATTTTCTCAGGTGCTAATTGTTGACAAACATCATTTAATATTGTATGATATTTTTGTCTCATTTTAACGATGATTCAAAATGATTGGAGAAGAAAAGAAGTTATTGATGATATATAGGTATTCAATTATTTACTAATATACCTATTCTCATTTATCATTTCAAATAATGCCATTCGTTTTTTATTTTGTTCAAAAAAATTATAGAAATAAATTTTAATTTTTCTCATAAAATTGCAATTCGATACCTTGATATTATGTGATATTTCCTCACAAAATCATAATTTCCTCCTATTTCTGCTACTGTAGTTTCTGGGTAATATCTATTCATTAAAATTTTGTTATCCAACCTATAGTCGGATATCGGATAAATTTAGATGATGAATGAGAAAGAGAAAGAGAGAGAGAGAGAGATGTTGTTAAATGACCTCCGCATTTATGTGTTACATCTATATTTAATGATAACCGTGTATTAAGAGAGGAAGGCAAATCAATCGTACATTGCGCTTCTCCCGATCTATAGGTCATCGTCCAGTCTTTAGGCAAAATAGCCAACCAATATAAACTGCACACAACTCAATAATCAGATTTCCACTGACTTTCATTCTTTCCATCTATGTCCATTTTATCCTTTCATAGTATTAT